CATGGGGTATTTTTATACCAAGGAATAGGGATTTACAATGTATTTGGAGGGGCAAAAATAGTACCTTGGTCCAATTTCTCAGCAGTTAACTTTTAATAGAAGGTTCTTTAAAGGTAACTAATATTTTCCTTTCTAAGGAAGACAAAAGGTCTTCAAGCAGCGACAAGCTATTAATGATGAGCATGTTCTTACTGAAAAGAACTAGTGGATGCTTACTCTTCTGCTCATCACTACTCCTCGGCTCGGCTCGGCTTGGCTCGGCTTCCTGCCTCCACAGGGCACAAAATGGCTGGCTCTAAAGTGCAACTTTGAAAGCAGTGTTGAGCAGCTGCTTTTGGCAGGTGTCTGCATACAGGCCATGAAGGATACAGAGTGCAAAAACCAAGCCTGTGAGTCTGTCATCTAGTAACACTCCCTATGATCCTATAGGGGATTCTGCAGGGCTCCAGTCAGCTCTTAACTTGGGTGAAGTAAGAAAGCTCAGGCACCCGGAAGGAGGCAACTGTCAGAAAGAAACAACCCCTACTCCACTGCCCCCCTGCGGCTAATTCTTGCCTCTTCTTTGCTCTTGGCCCTAGACCGGGTCAGTTATACTGGGACAGGTTTCCTAGCTTCTTGCTGTCATGGCAGCCTGTTACTTGGAGTTGGAAAGTGTGAAGACCTCATGAGTTTTCAGAAGTGTATCTCCTGACAAGAAAGGAGCTGTCCCTGAGCGAGTTTTTAGATGGCCATGTCTCCAGCTCAGCCTGGTGTGCCTGGTACACAGAAGACTCCTGATGATAGTACTGACCAGATGACAGAGAAGGTGGACAGTGGACCAGCCTGCCAGCCTTCCCATCCATACTGAATAGCCATGGTTTCTTTCAGGCAATTTATTATCAGTCCCATGCACTCCAGTGAGTCCTCTCCTTGTACTTGGTGACAGCACTAGTGCCACTGTCTGTCACCATCTGGATGCCCTTTTCAGGACCTAACAACTGCCAACTACAATGGAAAAGCATCTGCCACACACAAATGAAACTTAAAGTACCCTGAAAACCTACATTTTTACACTAAATGCAGTGGACACAGATCCCCTTTGGGTCTGAGTGAATTTGTCTGAGATATGTAGAGGGAGTCTCAGACACTGTTTGGAGAGGACTGTGTGGCCAGTTTATGGGAGCTGCAGCTGGGAGGGGCAATGGTCTTATTACCACCAAGACAGGGTGGCAGGAGACCTTGGAGTAGTCATACAAGAGAAAATGGACAGCAATCATTTCAAGCTCAAGGGGACCTGGCCTTTCTCATCTGAAGCAGGGTTAATAATCATCCCACGCTTCAAGTCAGAGAAAGCATCGAGTGGTAGATTTATTCAGTTATCAAAGTTTGTCCACAAGAACAACAACTAAATCCCACTACTGCTGGGCTGCCTTGCTCTCTCCTTCTTATCTAAATCCTCTGCTGTTTTCTACAGGGCCACTACTGTGCTCCACTCAGCAGTAAACAATGTCTGACTCATACGGAGTCTTCTGGCTCAGTTTGGGTAGGAGATAAAAATATGTGAATGGCTACTATACACATAAACCGCCATCAAGTGCTGCAAAGAATAAAGAAATGAGGCATGAGGGTTGATTCTGTGGGGCTCTGTACATCACCCTGAGGATTCTGGCTTCTATCCTAAGGGTACTGGGAGGCCCTGGAGGTTGTAAGTGGAAGCAGGGTGATGACTACCTCATCCATTCTTGTTGTTAAAGATGTGGAAGACAAAACATCATTACCTTGACAACTGGTGATAAGACAAAATGTGGAAAGCATTTTGAATTTTCAAAACTTCTGAAAAGCTGTCCTGACATGTCAAGGCCCACAGCTGTCTACAAGCAATCAGCAAGTGAGTAGTGCATGCCTCCACCAACACTTCCAACATCAAGCTTGTCTAGTTACTGGCACTACTTTAGCTCACACTTGAATAATGCCAGCAACCCAGAACAGAAGAGAACCAGCAAATTCCATCACCCTGCACAACTCCAACATTTCTGTGGGAAACCATTTCTTCTGAGTTTATTTTTTCCCAATGTTCTCCCCGTCTCTCTGTTTTCTTTTGTCTCCAATTTATGCTCCTGTTAGTGTTCTAGACTCTTCTCTCTTCAGTTACTCCCTTGGGAATATAGCCTCTCTTGTGACTAACCTTGCCTGCCATCTCTGTGGCAGGCAAGTACTTGGGACATTCAGAATATTCTTGGCTCCTTATTTAAAAAAATGTAGGGACAAGGCCTTTAGGGTGTCTTGCCTTTACCTCAAATATGGCAACTTATTTATGCATTTGTTTTTCTTTTTTCTTTTCTTTTAATTTTTTTATGTGTACGAGTGTACTGCCTACACGTGTGTTAAGTGCACTCATGTTGTACAATGCCTGTAGAGGTCAGAAGAAAGTATCAGATCCCCTGGAACTGGATGGAGTTACATATGGTTGTTAGCTGCCACGTGGGTGCAGGGAATCAAACCTGGGTCCTCTGCAAGAGCAGTCAATGGCCACTGGGCCATCTCTCCAGTCCCTCATTTATCTTTCACTAAATCACCTCACTCTTTGTAAGATTATAAAAGAGATTCCTGTACTAGGTGGAACATTTCACTAAATGACTGAGTTATAAAGTTAATTTTTGCCTGGATATTCTACAATATGAACACAATTTCCCCTTTTTACTATTTACTTTCTGGGGGTCTGATCACTATTTTGCCAGGCTTCTCTCTCTTGGAATCCTAAAATCTCATCTATCATCTTGCTCTTAATCCTTGTATCTGGGTTCTCTCAGACATGTCTCAGATTCACCTTTTCCTGTCTAAGCTCAATGCCCAAACCGGATTTAAGTCAGCACTTGTGTTCGGTGCTCCTGCCATGGCACCTTGCTTCGGTTCATGGCCTTTCCAATCCATCCCTTTAAATTGCAACTTCCTGTTCCATTCTCTTCAACCATATGGGAGGGTCCCTACCGAATTAAATCAAAATTTGCCACCTGGTTTCCAAGGATCCACATATCTATTCAACGTTGGTTCTTTCTACTGCAAACATACAGTTAATCCAGTTTAGTTTGCTTTTCTTCCC